AAAGTTGATGTGTTTATAATTTCTTTTAATACCTGGATTTGTCAAGCATGTCCAAATATATGCACATACTCACTCAAATAAAAATGTGCTGAACATGGTGATACACATCTGTAATCCCACTACTTGGAAAGGTAAGGCAGGAGGATCACCTCAAGTTCAAGGCCAGCCTGTTCTATCTAGTGAGTTCAAGGCTAGTGTGGGCTAAAGAAAAAAAATACTTATGTTCACACATGCATTAATGTGCATTTGGGAAGCAGTGTGATATAATGGTTAGAAGCTATGAAGCTGGACGAACCTGTATAAGAAACCCAACTGCTAGCATTCAAGAGATAAAAAAAGGATTATGAGGGCCAGCTTGGTGTGTATAGTAAGAGACTGTTTAGAAAAAAAAAAGATACATAACTCTGTAGCTTATCAGCCATCTGAACTAGAGTGGCTCATTTAAACTTGGAGTATGTATTCTTTTGTTAAAATTTATTCATTATTTTTATTTTATGCATATGCATGTATTGCTTGCATGTAGGTAAGTGCACCCATGCCGTACAATGCCCGAGGAAGACAGAAGAGGCTGTTGGATCCTCCGGAACTGGAGTTACAGACAGTTGTTAGCGGCCATGTGGGTGCTGGGGTTTGAACCTGGGTCTTCTGCAAGAACAACCAGTATTCTTAACCGCTGAGCCATCTCTCCAGCATGGAATATGTATTCTTACCTCTAAGATTGCATGATGCTTGATTCATAGACATAGAAAGCATTTGATAATATTAGCAATTGTTATCATTGTTTATTTGACTTAAAATTTTTACTTAAGGGGCTGAAGAGATGGCTCAGCAGTTTAGAGCATATACTACGCTTCCAGAGGACCTGAATTTTGTTTCTCACACCCATGTTGTGTGGTACACAACTACCTGAAACTCCAGCTCCAGGGTAACTTATGTCTCTGACCCCCATGGGCACCTGCAGTACACATACACATACACACACATATGCATACGTGCTTTGCCTGCACGTATAAAAGTGTGTCCATGTGTACAGTGCCCTTGGAAGTCAGAAGAGGGCATTCGATCCTCTAGAACTGGGGGTCACAGAAGGTCATTAGCAGCTATATGGATACTGGAAACCAAACCTGGGTCCTCTGCAGGAACAGCCAGTGCTCTTAACTGCAAAGCCATCTCTCCAGCCCCTATTTTTTTTATTTTTAAATTGTATGTATGTGCGGGTTAGAGAGGTGGCTCAGCAGTCAAGAGCATAGAACCTAAACTGGGTTCCTAGCATCCATGTGGCAGCTATTGACCATCCCGGGGATCCAGTATCCTTTTCTAATCTTTGAAAGCACTGCATGCATGTGGTGCACTTACATACATGTAGGCAAAGCCCTCATACACATAAAACATAAAAAAGTAAAGATAAATCTTTAAATTTTTTTTACTTAAAAATTGAAAAAGCTGGCATGCTGGCACATGTCTATAATTCCAGGACTCAGAATGTGGAAGAGCATCAAGAGGTCAAGGCCAGCGTGGGTTATATGATACTCTGACTCCAGAAAAAAGGGAGAGAGAGAGAATATATTTATTCATAAACCACCTGCAATTCATATAGTATAGAATATTTTATTATTGTTAGCCTTGACAATATTTGGCCAATTTTTTAATCCAAGGTTTACTCAATGTAAATCTTTTCTGTTAAATGAACAGTTTCTGCTCTGTAATTTCTACTGGTTGATTAAAAAAATTCATCCCACTCTTGGAAGCAAACCATGACCATGTTTTATATAGATTAGTTCTTTATTAACTCAGACAACAGAGGAGGAAGGCTGTTTATTTATTAATTTATTATCACTGGAAGTCCCTATGTAGCCCAGGCTTGTCTTGAGTTTATGGCAATCCTGCTGCCTCTCCCTCTAGAGTGCTTGGGATTCCAGTCATGAACTATCATGCCCAACTTTGGGGAAAGCATTTTAGATTGAATACAAAATATTGGTGGCAAGGGGTTGGGAGAATGGCTCAGTTGGTGAAACACTTATCCTGAAATCATGAGGACCTGAGTTTGATCCCCAAGATCCATGGGAAAAATGCTGGGTGTGATAGTATGCACTCATCATCTCAGTGCTGGGTGGGTTGAGACAGGAGGATCCCTGGGGCTTGCTGGTGCACCAGTCTGGTCTAGCTGGCAAGCTCCAGGCCATTGAGAGTCTGTTTCAAAGAAAGCAGACGGGTATTTCTGAGAATGACACCTAGGATTGCCTTCTGACTTGCACATAGATATGTGTGCAAGCTATGTGCACCTCACACATGTGGACACACAGACATCTTAAAAATTAGTGGTGTAAGAGAAAAAAAGAAGCACTTTCTTGTAAATACTGTACCATTTAATTGATGAACCACAATGTAGCACAAAATGATTACGTAGCCGGGCATGGTGGCACATGCCTTTAATCCCAGCACTCGGGAGGCAGAGGCAGGTGGATCTCTGTGAGTTCAAGGCCAGCCTGGTCCATAGTGAGTTCCAGGACAGCTGGGACTACAGGGAGACCCTGTCTCAAAAAGACCAAAAAAAAAAAAATTACGAATTTATTTGGCACCTACATAGATAGTTTACATTATTTACTGAAGCAAAAATTACATTTCTAAAGGCTCAAAACTGATTTCTGTGTGAATGTGTGTGATATGTTCTTTGGCCATAGTAATATAATTTATAATATAATCTCTTATTTTTTATGGATGTACTTTTCTTTAACTAGTTTATTCGTCCTCCACATTTTGCAGAATAGTTTGTCAATTGCCTTTTAAAGGGTAATGACCTATAAGTAAGAGGAGCAGTCCCAGCACATGTGAAGCTGAGGCAGGAAGATCTCAAGTTTGAGTCAGCCTAGGCTACATAGTGAGACTCTGTCTCAAAAAAGAAGTTCAAGAAAAAGAGGAGGATGATATTAAAGTAATTTTACATTCAAAGCATATAAAACTAGTTACTTAAAAATTTTCAAATTAACAATTTTAAACTGAAAGTCCCCAATTTATTCATTTAACAAATATATTAAACATTGTTCTAGATGTTGGGCCTACTCCAGTAAGAGAACAGACACAGATTCTGGTCTCATGGAATTTGATCTTGACCTTGATTCTTTTATTAAACAATGTTAATATAGGCATGAGCTTATACTGGAAAATAAAACAGCACCCCACCCAAAAAAACCTTCCTTGTCTTTTTGGAGTTCATATTATATTAGGGGAATAGATTATAAAGATAAGCAAATAAACAAGATGTTATTTTTTTAAAAAAAGATTTATTTTATTTTGGTTTATGTGTATGTGTATGTGTATGTCTGTATGGGTATGTGCACATGAGTGAAAGTACCATCAAAGGCCAGAAGAGAAAATTGGATCCCCTGGAGCTGGAGTTACAGGCAGCTGTGAGCCACCTGACATGGGCCCTGGGAACTGCACTCAGGTTCCCTGCAAGAGCAACAAGTGCTCTCAATTGCTGAGCCATTTCTCCAGCCCAAGCAGTATGTTCTTACTATTAATTATGAGTGCTAGGGGAGGTGGGAAATGAAGCAGAGTAGAGCATAAATATCAGAGAAGGCTGAGATTCCAACCAGGGAACAAGGAAAGACATCCACGAAAGGGTTTTTGTTTTGTTTTGTTTTTGGTCTTTTTGAGATAGGGTCTTCCTGTAGCCCCAGTTGTCCTGGAACTCATTATGTAGACCAGGCTGGCCTTGAACTCACAAAGATCCACCTGCCTCAGCCTCCCGAGTCCTGGGATTAAAGGCATGTGCCACCACCCCTGTAAAGACCTGAGGGAAATGAGGACCCTTCCTGTGCTGCAGATATAATGTCCGCCTGAAGGGGGAGTTTGCTTGGGGACTTGAGGAATGGTAATAATTGTTAAAAGCAAAAAAAAAAAAAAAAAGAAAGTGTGAAAGGCATACAAGATCCAGTGGCGCACATAACATAGCTACCTGTTCTACTCTATGGAATCAGGAAAAGTTATTTGAATGCAAAAGAGCCAGGCATAGGGACTTGAGGTTGGAGTATCCAAGTTCCTTCCTGTTGAGCACAGAGAGCTTATATTCTAAGTGATAAACCAGATAAATTCAAAGAAGTAAATATTCTAATTTTTAAATAATTTAACTTGTCTATACCCATTTTAATAACATTGTTATATACTAGATTAGTACTTTTTGGTTCAAAAGGCACTTTCTTGATTCTTGTTAGTGACATTTACTAGATGTGGAAACTCAGGATCTGAAATGTTAGAGAATAAGTGACTTGCCTAATACACAGAGCTGATAAATGATGAATTTTGGGTCAAACTTGGAAATTTGATTCTAATGTAGTACTAATTGTTTTAAAATGGTTTTTAATTATACCGCAGATAGAATAAATTGGCAATGTAACATAAAGAATTACATTATAGGTTAAACTTTTTTTAAAGTCTTGCTATGTAGCCTATGCTATGATCTTCTTGCCTCAGCCTCCCAAGAGCTGGGATTGCAGGCATGGGCTCCCGTGTCTGGTTCACTCTTAATTATTTTTTAATGCTTATAATAAATGTAGAGTTTTGCCTAAGCTTGTCTAATTTCATGGCATACATAATAAAGGTGTTTCACTTTTTTAAACTTATTTATATTTATTTTATGTATATGAGTGCTCTGCCTGTATGGATGTAAGGGCACTGCATGCATGCTTGGTGTCTGGGGAGGCCAGAAGAGAGCACTGAATTTCCCTTGGAACAGGAGTTAAAGACAGATGTTAACTACCATATGGGCACTGGGAACTGGACTGGGGTCCTCTGGGAGAGCAGTAAGTACTCCTAACCACTGAGCCATCTCTCCAGCCCCAGGTATTTCACTTTTATGTGGTAGGTGTATTTAGGGAATCTTGGATTTAGGTTCCTCCTCCACTCCCCCAGGGCTGAAGTGAATAGGAATATCTCAAAAGAATGCTTTAATTTCTATTTATGAATTGCATTTTAAGTGAAAGATGCTTCTCTTGTCACAGATATTTGAATGGTGGTACTTCCATAAGCATGGAACATCTTTTATTGAGCAAGTATCTATAAGTCATTTGCGACCTCTGATGGGAGGAACAGAGAGTAGCATTTCAGAGCCAGGTTCTCCTGCCAGCAACAGAGAAAGTGAAGCCCTCAGACACCACCATTTGTCAGGTGAGTACTCTTTCAGTGTGTTTTCAGAGCTGTGTAGTTAAGATTGATTTCGCTTCACTTATGGATGAAAAATCAATCTCAAAAGAACAGAGTACAGTAGTTTGCATGTTTGCCTAATCAATGTGATGGTAGGAAGTAGGGCCTTTGAGAGGTGATTAAACCATGAGGGTGGGACCCTCAAGAATAGAATTAGTGCCCTAAGAGAAGAGACCCCAGAGAGCTGTTTACTCCTTTCACTTTATGAGGCTATAACTAGATGGTGCCATTCACAAACATAAGTGAGTTTTCACCAGACACCAAGCCTGTCAGCACCTTGAACACAAATTTTCCAGCTTCCGAAACTATAAGAAATAAATTTCTGTTGTTTTAAGCTACTCAGTTTATGGTATTTTGTCCGAATAGAATAAAACACAGAGATATCCTCATCTTTCATGTAAATGTTGGTAACCCATGACTGGTATGGAGAACAGTGATCATCAAAGTCCCAGACCCCTTCTATTTTTTAGCCTGCCATCTCTAGATGCAGTTACCTTGTGATCCAAGATCCTTGCTCTGGCTTTGACCATCCTATCCACCTTCCATTCAGCAGGGAAGAGAACAAGGCCAGGGAAAGGACACTGCTTCCCCACCCCACCCCACCCCATAGGAAGCACTACTCAGAAGTCCTTAGCATGCACAAGGACCTGGGCTCAATTTTGAGAACCACCAAACAAATATTCCAAAAGATGGAGGCAGGAGAATCAGGGATTCAAAGCCATCCTCAGTTAAGTCTGAAGCCACCCTGGGCTACCTGAGCTCCTGTCTCCAAAAAAAGGGGGAGGGGGGAGGGTAAAGGTTGAATGAGATCATGAAAGTGAGCTGTTAACCTGATAGGATTGTTATAAGAAAGAGAGAGAGAGAGAGAGATTATTCTCTTTCCCCACCATCAGAAGACAGCTAAGAGGCTATTTATAAGCCTATCTTGAGGCTGAAGGGTTTTGATATTCTTGCCAGAAATCTGGGCATTCCAAGTGCTGGAATTACAGACATGAGCCACCATGACCAGTTTTCAGTTTATTTTCTAGTCTTTCTCCTACCCATTACTCTGTGTGTTAGCCTAAATATGCTGTGCAGTTTACAGGGCAGGAAGAGGAGGAGGATGTGTGTATGTACGTACAAAGGTGTGCTTGTGGTGTGCTTGCCCATGTGTATGTATGTGAAGGCCAGAGGCTGACACTTTATTTCTGAGAGAGGGTCTCTTACTGAATCTAGATCTTACCATTTTGGCTAGACTGGCTGGTCCCCAGGACCTGCCTGTCTCTACCTCCCCAGCCCCAGAATTGCAGAAGTGTGCTGCTGCACGTGGCTTTCATGTGGGTGTTGAGGATCCAAATTCAGGTCCTCATGCTTTCGCAGCTCTGAACCATCACCTCAGCCCCATGTATAGTTTTATACTTCTTCAGTTTCAAATGTTCTTTATCTGATAACCTTCTACTCTTTTATGGTGATTATTTAAATGCTAGTTCAAGTGCCATTTCCTCTTCTAAGTCTTCTATGATTGGTCATGTGTCTCTACTATACCACAAATCACTTAGTGCCTGCAGGGTTTGTCTACATGACTAACTCTCATGCTGCATTCAGTTCAGTTCAACAGTCAGTTCCAGAAGCTGCAATAGGCTCTAGGAATATAACAGTAAATACATTTTTAATAGTTCCTATTTTAGAGAAGAGATTGAAAACCAACAGGTAATTACATTGTTATGTAGTAAAAATTATAGCTGAATTATGAACTAAATGCTATTGAGACAGAAATACAGTAGTAATTGGATTTAATTCTGTGCTTCTTGAGAATAGTGGTGATTTGTACCTCATTTGTATCTGTACCATCTGTTGCTAATATTATATTTCAAGTGTAGGTGTTGATAGTAAATGTTGGTTAATGAAGATTTACCTGCATTTGATTTAACTAATTTTCCTCCTTGTTTTTCAGAATGCAAGGTCTGGAGAAATCCTCTAAACCTTTTCAGAGGGGCAGAATATAGGAGGTACTACATTTTGCTTCCAGTTTAAGAATGGCATTGGTCTTAGAGTGCGAGTACTGTAGAAATGCCTATCTTCATAAATATATCACAACTTCTTATACTTGGAGATACTGACATAATAATAAAGTGAATGATTTGCTCAAGAGTTAGTTGGCATTGGGGCTAGAGAGATGGTTCAGCAGTTAAGAGCACTGCTGCTCTTGCAGAGGACCAGGGTTCAATTCCCAACACCCACATGGCAGCCAACAACTGTCCATAACTCCAGTTCCAAGGGAATCCAATGCCCTCTTCTGACCTCCATGGGCATTGCACAACACTGGTGCACTTACATACATGCAGGCAAAACGCTCATACACATAAAATAAAAATAATAAATAAAATGTTTTTTTTAAAAAGAGTTGGCATCATCTTAACTATATTTTTTTTGAGTATAAAACAAAATAACTAGGGATTTTCTCTTTTTAAAATGTATTCTTTGATAGTTCCATACATCGTTTATAATACATTCATCCTTCTGCTCTCTTATCCTCCCCCGACCCTCACCAGTCACCCTTTGCCCCCACCAAGTCCCCATCCCACTCTCATGTGTTTTTTCCCTTTAATTGATGGCTTGCATGGCCATGGATGTGAAGCTGCCCACAGCAATGTGAGTAACCTAGCAGTGGCTATATCACTACAGCTCCTTCCTCTAATAGCCCTGACTGCCATTGGCTCCTCTGGGCAGGGCTATGAGCCCTCCCCCATCTATGGCTGAATATTTACTGGCTCAGTCTTGTGCAGGCTCTATGCAGGGACCCGCAGTTACTGTGAGTTCATGAGTGCCCACAGCCATGTCATGCCCATTAAATGGGGGTTCACAGTCCTCCTTCTGGTCACTTGGCTCTTTGATTTTTCTGCCCTCTCTTCCATGATGTTCCTTGAGGCTTGGCAGATGGGTTGGTTTGTTGGTTAGTTGGTTGGTTGGTTTTTTGACAGGCTCTCATGAAGCCCTGTATGGCCTTGAACTTACTATGTAGCTGAGACTGGCCTTGAACTCCTGATCTTCCTGTCTTCACCTTCTGAGCACTCAAGTTACAGGTGTATGCTATGCCTGTTTGTATTTAGTTTTGTAAGTTTGAGTATTGCTTCAAATAATTGTTTATTCTATATAATTAGTATATATTAGGCCCATATTTGTTAGAAAGGCTATTCCAAAAAATTCATGAGATTAAAAATTTATAGGTAATAGCATGTGTCTTCAATTCCAAGACTTATTTGAGGAGTCACTGGAAAACAATGCGAATGCGAACTTAATTTGTGCAGTGGTACAGGGTATAGTGTTTTTATATTGGCTTTATATTGCCATTCTGTAACTACACTACTGGGTTCACTGCTCATCAAGTTTTTACTGTAAATGAGAAAACGTTTTAAAACTTATTACCAAAGTTTTCTTGGCTTTTTTTTGAGGAGGGCTATGTTTTATCTGCAGGTAGGCTAAAACATTTTACTTAGCTCATTGAACCACCATTATGTATCTACTCTGTGTGGCTACTGTGCAAAATAATGTAGATATAAAAATCTAATTAAACAATAACCCCCTGTGCTAGAACTTGATAGCTAAGATAGTAGTGTCCTGGGAAGGGAAAGATAGGCTTTTAGGAGAGGTGCCATTAATGTGTATTCAAGGATTCTGCATTCTACAACAAACAGGTCTTTGAACCTCTTGTTGTATTTGTATTCCTTGTTATACAGTATCCACTTCATGAAAAAAATTTTTTTGGTCTTTTTTGAGACAGGGTCTCCCTGTAGCCCCAAATGGCCTGGAACTCACTGTGTAGACCAGGCTGGCCTGGAACTCACAGAGATCTGCCTGCCTCTGACTCCCAGGTGCTGGGACTAAAGGCATAAGCCACCAACACCTGGCTTCATTTCATGAAAATCTTTAAGTGAATTTTTTTAGTATCAGGAATACTTATGTTTCATACTCAATTGTCAGAACACTTTATTGAATAATTTATTGCTTTGTTTTGTATTTTGAAGCTGTTTCATTATATAACTCAAGCTGTCCTGGAATTCACTAAGTGGCTCAGGCTGGCCTTAAACTCACAGCACAACTCCTGCCTTAGCCTCTCAAGTATTTGGATTACAGGTATGAGCCACCACATCTGGTTGAATAGTTTATTCTTTCCTGTTTGGGATTTTTGGGTGTTTTGTTATTATACCATAAGTAGTATATTATCTCTTTTAAATTATTTATTTATTTATTTATTTTTATTTTATTTGTATGAGTGTTTTGCCTTTACGTACATAAGTGCACCATGTTTTGCAATGCCTGCAGAGTCCAGAAGAGGGCA